TAAATTTCTTTGTTGTAAGACCTCTCAGAACCTTTAAAATGCTAATATGCATTGTCAGGCTTCAGGACTGAAAATGGAGTATACAGCATTTTCCAAACTTCTTTGAGCTTAGAATCTTTTTTGCAGAGAAATTTAGGACTAGAGTTCTGTGAAATTCTCACTGAAATGGACTTGTCTAAACCACTGTCAAACTGGAGATTTTTTTTTGTCTCCATATGAACGTTAACCCTAACCTTAGAACTTTCCAGAGAACTAGATTCTTGGGCCCCATCTGCAACTCACTCCTGATTCTCAACCTTCACAATTAAGCAGTCCTCCTTGTGCACTTCATGGGACTGTTCCTATGGCAATATTAGTCTGTGTCTGCCCTCAAGAAGTAATGGAACCACTTTCTAATAGCGCTCTCATAGGCCTCCCTTCCATGATTAAGTTGTACTCAAGGTTTTCCATCTATTGCCAGTGCTGTGAATTTTCCCTCAAGATTCATTTCCCAATTAATCTCTGGTTTTTCTCCAGACTCTTTCAGTTTTCTTTCCTCACTTTCAGTGTGGAATCTAGAATGGGCATCCAACCTCCAGAAAGAGCCTGATCTACTCAAGGCTGGCTGGGAGAGAAAGGTGTGTGAGGTTGTTACACAGAAAGCTCAGGAATTAGGACTTGGTGAGCCGGACTTTTCTCTTGTGCTAGAGAAAGAGGAATGTTGAAGGAACCTGTGAAATAGACTCAGGAGTGGTTGCTAACCCGGCCAGGGGCCAGAGTTCTTGTAAAGCATCCTCCTGGTGTGTGTCGTCTGGCAGCTACAACAAGCTGACCTTTGGCACCGGGACCAGGCTGACCATACACTCCCGTGAGTATGACGGTGTGAATGACCAAGGCAAAGTGATTGACCATTTGTCTGCAAGAAAACCGGCAATAATTTATGGCAAACTCGAGGATATGTGGAACACTCGTTTTCATTTCTACAAACTCTCTGGTAACTTGAAATGTTCCCATTTCTCATGTTAAAGATAGCAGTGCCAAGAGCCAGCTGGGTAAATGAAAATCTGAGCAGAACAATTTACAGAAACATAAAAAGTGTTGCAGATACTTGGTGCTTTCAAGCGAAACGGATCATATCAGCACCAGATAATCTGAGCATTCAGGAAATTAGCTAAATGCTCTTGGGGGAAAGAGATGAGTTAATGGCAAACACAAATTCTCTTTTATTGCAGCAGGTAGCTAAATTCCCTGGATGGACTAATGAGCATAGTGTGGGGATAGCTGCTCACAGAATCTTTCTCTCTGAGATTGAGTAGAATTTTGAACTGCTCCCAGGGTAAAAATGACCCAGACCCCTATGTGAATGGCAAATATGACAAGGTGTGGGGTTCACAGCATAGCTTAGGAGGCTAGCAGACCTTGGGGGGAGTCTGGATTTGTCCTCTCCAGCTAATTAAGTCTTCACTTTCTCAACAGAAAAATAAAAATTAGCACATCATAATATGAGATAATGCTTGGCATATAGCAAGTAATCAATAAATGACAGCTTTTCTAAATAATATTAATGATAATTATCATCATCATCATGAAGGCTTTGTTATTCTAAAGCTTCATTATTGTAATGGGAAAGGGGAACAATTTCCATGGGAAATAGGAAACCTAAGAAACAAAAGGCAGGGTCCCTTCTCAGATGGTACCCTCAGAGCCTGGTAGGTTCCAGCAGGTTAATGTCAGGACGGTTATTGCAAAGACCTTACTCTCGGTGGAGATACGGCACTTTTAAGTTAAACTTTGGAGCAGGGACCAGCCTGAGTGTCCAACCAAGTAAGTAATGTGGGGCAAAGGTGGACATTGACAGCTAATTCTTCTTTGTCTGAGATGCCCAGTTGAGCGCAGGTGCTTTCTTTTGTTGAATCCCAAAAGGTTCTCTCCGCCCATCCCAAAACATCCTCCCATCCTGCTCTCAATGCTCAGCAAACACCCTTGGGCCAGAACCTGAAAAATCATGAGTCAGATGATGGGCAAGGAGTCCTGGACCTTTCACGAGAGGATCCAAGACACTGTTGTCCTGAGCAGGGGGTGTTGTCTACTGAATTCTGTGTTTATGGAAATCAGAACCTCCAATCCAGAGCACTACAGCAGGATGGGGCGGGAAGAAAAGGATTAAGAGACAGACTCAACACAGAAGAGCAGAAGGTCTAACTCTAAAGAGTGTGATCCTCTGTCCCCTCTGAGAGACCAGTGTTTCTCACTGAAGTAGGAGACAGGGCCAGTGAGTTTCTGTAATGGTATCCCCAGCAGTGTGAATACAGGAGGAGTGACCAGTAAACTCACATTTGGGAAAGGAACCCAAGTGTCCATAATATCTGGTGAGTCATTCCAGGTGGCACCATTTGCAACCCCATGGACCAGTGTCAGTAACATTTTCCCTGGGGATCTTATTACTATGGCAAGGCTAACTGTGAGTGTTATACTGTCTTACAGAGGCCTCTGTGAATGGAAAAGGCAACACTATCGATCTTGAAAATCCGTATTTCTCTAGGTCAAACACATTAAAATTTGACTTTAATCATTCAACAGATAACTTTAAATGCCTTCTGTGTGGCCATCACTCTATAAAATGTGAGACTGAGTATGCATATCTAAGATAGATGTCTGAACTGTCTCCAAACAGTATAAAAACTAGTCAATGGGACCGAGATATTGTAAATTTAGCAACCTGAAAACCATTTTTGTATCAACCAGCTGATCATGTTAACAGGTATGGTAGATTCAGAGAAATGGGGTCCTGGATGAAAAGTTGGCCTACATGGAAAAGGTTTTATGAAGTAGAAAGAATTTGTTGAGGCTAAAGTATAAATTAAGATCTATTTGGGCAAAGTAAGGAGATGAGGGGACTTCCAGGCATAAGAAACACCAAGAAAGAGGGCATGATCTCAGGAATGAACAAGGCATGTGCATTTTGGCCAAGTAAACACTCTGATAATGAAGTTAGATGGAGAGAAAGCCAAAGATGTCTTCAGAGACAATGGAGAAAAGGAATGCTAGAGCCTTCAGGATAATATAGACAAGACCATTAGGGCCAAGGCCAGCCACTGGGAAACAGGGAAACAATTCAGAAATGCAGACCAGAGGTGAATGCAAAAGAGGCCAGCTCTTCCTATGAACAGCTCATGGCCTAGACCACCCTACTTTGTTGCTCAATGGCCTGTAAGAGCCCATCCGTCAGAGGAGGGGAAACCTAAGGCTTTTTGTAATGAAGACAGTGAGAGTGAGATGGAGGTGTTGCCTCCCAGATGCAGTTTGGCAAGGGAACCAGAGTCTCCATTACTCCAGGTATGTCTATGAGGGTTCACTGCTTCCTGATGCTCACGAGGGCCTCAGTGGGACTCAAACTCAAAGTCAGTACTGCTCACTCACATTTAGGGTTCCTGGTGCCCAACTTCCAAACACAGATTTGGTGGTAAGGGAGCTTTCCATCATTGCTGTGCCCTGGGGATCTTAGGCACTAGAGCCTTGGAACATGTGCTTCTGTGGTTAATTCTGAATTAAAATGAATGGTGAGGATCTAGAAATAGCTGGACTTCCACACTGAAAAGTTGATCCAGTCTTGCTAAGCCTACCTTCTGAGATGTCATCAGTGGCAATAGGCATTTATCTTACTACAGTGGAACAGGATGTTTCTCTCTCAGGGCTCTGGAAGATGGACCCCTAAAGACCTCCAAATTAATAATGACTCATTCTTTGTTTTCAGACAAAAATGTTGCATTGAGGCACCTGGGGATAAAAGTAAGGGGGCTTTACTTTTTAAGGACTTCTTCTTTAGTATTTATTTATTTATTTGACTGCACCAAGTCTTGGTTGTGGCACGCAGTATCTTTAGCTGTACCGTGAGAACTCTTAGTTGTACCATGTGAGATCTAGCTCCCTGATCAGGGATCGAACCTGGACTTCCAGTACTGGGAGCTCATTCTTAGCCACTGGACCGCCACGTAAGTCCCTAAAAGAGGGCTTTAAAAAGCCAAGTTTCGGGATAAATATCCAGGTTTTTTGACCAAAAAGTCTAATTAGTAGAAATTTTCCAAATCTGATGGTCACTAGGCTGTTTATTTATCCCACAATTATTTCTTGAGCACCTAGTATATGGCAAAGACGAGGGACACAGCAGGGATCTAGGGACAGGTCCTAGTTGTCACAGAGCTTATATTCCAGGGAGCCAGGGTAAAGAGTTTTATCCAGCTGTGTTCATACAGGGTATATACAGGACTTGAGAGAGGAAATTCAAGCGCTCCAAATCATGGCAACCACTAAATGCTGTGCCACGAAGTGTGGACATTATCCTATAGGTGATAGGAGTCTCTGGAGTATTTTGAACAGAAAGTGACTCGATCAGCTCCATGTTTTAGAGAGGTCATTTAGATGATGAGCTCAAAGAAAAGACTGAGGTCAGGGGAGCAGGAAAGGGTGAGTAAGAAGGAAACCAGGGGTAAGGAAGCCGGACAGGAGAAACAACAGCAAAAATGCACATGGGGAAAGCCCAAGGGTATCAAGTGGTAAAAACGAGAATTGAGAGAGGCTAAAAATCACCTCAATTCTCTGACTTCACTAACCGCTCTTTCATTTTGATCTCTCACTAGCAAAGTTGAGCAACAATAAGCCTGCCCTGGTATCACCCTCCACGGACCTCAGCTGGCTTTAAGTCTCACTCTCAGCCCCTGCAGCCTTTCCTCGTGGTCTGTGGCATTGCACCCTCCAGACCAATGCCATCTGATAGACTTTTCTGTGACAATGGAAATATTCTGTCAACCTGCACTGTCCTACACTGTAGGCATCAGCCACATGTGGCTACTGGGGTCTCAGAATGAAGGTTTAATTGCTAATTGAATTTTTAATTTTACTTGATGTTTGTTGTTGTTGTTCAGTAGCTCAGTTGTATCTGACACTTTGTGACCCCATGGACTGCTGCACACCAAGCTTCCCTGTCCTTCTCTATCTCCCGGAGTTTGCTTGATGTTGGTTAGTGTAGCTAAAGACTATCACACTAGACAGCGTGGTCTAGACCCTCTCCAGGCTGACAGCCGCTGGCTCTAGGATCTGAGTGAGAGTTTAACCAGGACTCAAAGTCAGGTATCCGGCCCCCATAACAACCCGTTTCTCCCTCTGAAGTCAACCTGTGTCTGGTAACAGCTTTCTTGAGGCCACATTCTCTCAGCACCTCCACACCCTTCCACATCACCCTCTCTGGTCCCACCCATGACTCCCACTAATGACTGACACATCCACTGGGGTGTGGTATTAGCTAATGGCTTCCGGTCTCTCCCCTCCCAGTAAAAGATTTCTGCCATAAATCTTTAACCCACAGTGATGTCGTCCTCTCGGGCACATGGAGATTGGAGGGGAGCAGGCAGAATCCTTTGAAGCCAAAGCTTTGGGAGTTGCTCACATGTGACCATAGACAACCCCACCCATAGGCAGCTCTGCCTTGATTCAGCATCCCAAGGCCATGCCAAGGGCTGATTCCCCTGGTTTTCATCCAGATGGATATCTGCATTTCCAAGGCCACCCTGACTGGCTCAGCACACGGGGGGCGTCATGTATCACTGGTCTGCAAGATTTTGCCTGTGTGGTGAGAAGCTAGGGGAGCAGAGAACCACGGCCCCGGAAGCTGCCATCCCAGCCCTGCTGTAAACTTGCTGGGTGGCCCCAACGTGTTAATCCTCCTAATAAACCTCTGCTTCCTCCTCCAAAGGCAGGAGGTCTGAAAGAATAAACCCTGAGGGTTGCTTTAAAAACACAGAATCCCATGAAAATACTGAGGAGTCATTCTCAGCACTAAAGAAAAGCCTCCAGCTGCTCCTTGCTTTCCCTGGACGGAAGAGTAGAAACTGTATTACTGGGTAGCGCAGTTATCATGGCAATCTCCTGGTAGTATCAAGAGCTGCAATTACTAAATTATTTCAGTTTATTAAGTATAACTTTACATGGAGAAACTCTCATGGCTTCTCAGAAGAGCCTGGTCAGGAAAAAGAATGAGGCAATATCCCCACTTGACAGATGAAATTCCTGAGACTCAAGGAGCTGGTGTGAATTGCTCAAAGCCTTGTAGCTAGTAAATGGGAGAGCCGGGGCTTAGACACAAGGGTTCTGATTTAGAGCCTAAAGCTTTTATCAGTGAGAGAGATCTCCTGGTGATGTGGCCCATCTTCCAAGTTCATGCCAGCCTATTATAAACATCACACTCCTGTCAACACCAGCCCAAGACAGGGAGACCACCCTAGACTCTAAGACATATGGCTTGCTTTGCTGGGTCTCTTTTCTCTGCTTGCTTTGTCCTGCCAGAACTATGTTGTTGCTTCCTAGGCCTTCTGAGCCTTTGAAAAAGTTCCTATTAAGTAGAAAGATGGGCAGCATCCTTAAGTAGCCCTGCACTGCTAGTTTCCTTGAACGGTAGGCAGGGCCTGGCAGAATGTGTTCACTGAGAGCCTGGCCTCTTGGCCAGGACCAGTAGTTTGCGCCTGTCCCTGAGTCCCATCTGTTGTGAGCAGATGGTTTCTAGGATGTTCTTTCCCACCTCAAACCTGAGAATGTGACTTGCCAGCCCCATAGAGCCCCATTCTTGCCCATCATTGGCATCTGGATTCAGGCCTTGGTTGGAGCAAGGAGGAAAACAACCATCTCCTAACCTGGGTCCTTTTGGTCCACAGAAATCAAGGACCCCAACCCCACTGTGTACCAGCTGAGAAGCCCCAAGTCCAGTGACACTTCTGTCTGCCTGTTCACCGATTTTGACTCTGAAGTCCAGCTGACACAAATCACGGGGAGCAAGTGGAACATGATGCACAAGACAAATAGCACTGCGCTCAACATGGAGATCCTGGGATCCAAGAGCAACGGGATAGTGACCTGGGGAAACACCAGCGATGCTGGATGCGAAGACACCTTCAGCAAGGACATTCACGTAGCCCCCAGCGACGGTGAGTGCAGCCTGGGTTCGGCTCTAAGTTGTCTCCTCCATCGACAGGCCCATTTGTGCCCAGGGCTCAGGTGTGTGACATCCAAAAGCTGCTCTGATTGGTGGTCTCAACCTCATCAACTGTCAGCAAAGACCCCTCCCTTCTCATTCCTGAGCATCAGGGAGCCCCATCCAGGCAGGTCACAGAATGTCCTGGACAAATAGCAGAGGGGGAAGAATCTGAGAGCTCCAGGGCCCTGAAGCTCACCCTCTCTGAGCCCCACCCCCTGCCTCTGCTCAGCCCCTCACTGCCCTCCAGGCTCCAGTGTGCTTCTCCCAGACCCCTCCTTTTACTCCTCGCTCTCGGCCAAGGGCTTCCCAGCTCCTGACCTCATTCACTCATTCACTCAGCAATTGCTGATTGTGCCTGTACAACATGCCCAGTGCTGCCATGGAGGAAGAAATGCATCCGATGAGGGGTCTGCTCTGAGTAAGCCCCATTCCAGTTGGGGGAGACCAACCATCAACAAGCAGAAATCTAAAGAACTCCAGATTATCATAGTTGCTTTAACTTGGAGTTGGGGAAATAGCCACCCTAGGGACAAAAGTCAGAGAAGGGCCCTCTAGGGAAATGCTATCTGAGCTGAGATTTCAAGGCTAAGGAGATACCAGCCATAAGAAGAGAAAGGACCTTATAGAGTCAGGAGCACAGTGAGAAAGGCCAAGGGCAGGAGGAGATGAGGTGGAAGAGATAGGCCAGAACCAGATCACAGAGCTTTGCCTGACACTTCTGTCTGCCTGTTCACCGATTTTGACTCTGAAGTCCAGCTGACACAAATCACGGGGAGCAAGTGGAACATGATGCACAAGACAAATAGCACTGCGCTCAACATGGAGATCCTGGGATCCAAGAGCAACGGGATAGTGACCTGGGGAAACACCAGCGATGCTGGATGCGAAGACACCTTCAGCAAGGACATTCACGTAGCCCCCAGCGACGGTGAGTGCAGCCTGGGTTCGGCTCTAAGTTGTCTCCTCCATCGACAGGCCCATTTGTGCCCAGGGCTCAGGTGTGTGACATCCAAAAGCTGCTCTGATTGGTGGTCTCAACCTCATCAACTGTCAGCAAAGACCCCTCCCTTCTCATTCCTGAGCATCAGGGAGCCCCATCCAGGCAGGTCACAGAATGTCCTGGACAAATAGCAGAGGGGGAAGAATCTGAGAGCTCCAGGGCCCTGAAGCTCACCCTCTCTGAGCCCCACCCCCTGCCTCTGCTCAGCCCCTCACTGCCCTCCAGGCTCCAGTGTGCTTCTCCCAGACCCCTCCTTTTACTCCTTGCTCTCGGCCAAGGGCTTCCCAGCTCCTGACCTCATTCACTCATTCACTCAGCAATTGCTGATTGTGCCTGTACAACATGCCCAGTGCTGCCATGGAGGAAGAAATGCATCCGATGAGGGGTCTGCTCTGAGTAAGCCCCATTCCAGTTGGGGGAGACCAACCATCAACAAGCAGAAATCTAAAGAACTCCAGATTATCATAGTTGCTTTAACTTGGAGTTGGGGAAATAGCCACCCTAGGGACAAAAGTCAGAGAAGGGCCCTCTAGGGAAATGCTATCTGAGCTGAGATTTCAAGGCTAAGGAGATACCAGCCATAAGAAGAGAAAGGACCTTATAGAGTCAGGAGCACAGTGAGAAAGGCCAAGGGCAGGAGGAGATGAGGTGGAAGAGATAGGCCAGAACCAGATCACAGAGCTTTGCCCATGATGAGAGGGAGACACTGGGTAGTGAGGAGCTATTGATTGCCTATTATCAGGCAAATGACACTCAATTTACTTTAAAAAAAAAAAAGAAAGAAAATCATCCTGGGGGCTTCCCCAGTGGGTCAATGGTAAAGAATCTGTCTGCCAGTGCAGGGGATACAGGTTCCATCCCTGTTTGGGAAGTCCCACATGCCATGGAGCAACTAAGCCCCATGTGCCACAAGTACTGAGCCTGTGCTCTAGAGCCCAGGAGCCAAAACTACTGAGGCCGTGTGTTGCAACTATTAAAGCCTGTGCTCCGCAACAGGAAGCCACCGCAGTGAGAAGCCTTGGCACCAAAACTAGAGAGTAACTCCTGCTTACTGCAACCAAGGAACGTCTGGCACAGCCAAAATAAATAAACAATTTTTTTTTCCAGTCACTCTGACTAGAGTGGAAAATGGATTGTAGGAGCTGAGAGTGGATACAGAAAAGAAGCTCATGCAGCAGAGAGAGGATGGAGGCCAGGATGGGGTTGTAGCAGGGGAGTTATTTATTTGATATTTTGTTTTTTATTTATTTAACTAAGGCACTGGGCCTTAATTAGGACATTCAAACTCTTAGTTGCAGCTTGTGGGATCTAGCTCCCCAACCAGGGATAGAACCCAGGCCTCCTGCATTGGGAGCACAGAGTCTTGGTCACTGGACCATCAGGGAAGTCCCTGTGACAGGGGAGTTAAAAGCTCAACACTTATTTGGGATTCAAAGCTAGAACCATGGAGGGTCGAAAAGGAAAACGGGAACTGAGGAAGGTGGCTGGATTTTCTTTCTGAGCAGCTAGGTCAATGATAATGCCAATTACTGAGTCAGAAAATACAAGCAAACAGATTTGCAGTGCGGGGGTCAAAACCTTGTGGAACATATGAAAGCATCTATACCCCTTATGGCACTTCTCACGGTGTCTGTCTTACTTCCTCTATCAGACTCCAGACTGGAACTCACCCAAGGGTGGAGTCTGATGGCTCCTTGTGTCATGTAACATGCACTTAGCACAACCAGTATTAAGTAAATAAAATGGTGCCTAGAAGCCAGGGTGCTGGTCCTTCGACGGTCAGTGGTGGCCCCAACAGGTGCTCATACGGGACAAGTTCCTTCCAGATCTCTCCACGAGGAGGCATGGAAAAGCTGGAAACATTCACCAGCCCCGCTTCTGGGGTGGGAAGTCAGAATGCTCAGGACTCTAAGAAAAATGTCTTTATTTCTCCTTTTAGGAATCTACTAGAGTGGAAAATGGATTGTAGGAGCTGAGAGTGGATACAGAAAAGAAGCTCATGCAGCAGAGAGAGGATGGAGGCCAGGATGGGGTTGTAGCAGGGGAGTTATTTATTTGATATTTTGTTTTTTATTTATTTAACTAAGGCACTGGGCCTTAATTAGGACATTCAAACTCTTAGTTGCAGCTTGTGGGATCTAGCTCCCCAACCAGGGATAGAACCCAGGCCTCCTGCATTGGGAGCACAGAGTCTTGGTCACTGGACCATCAGGGAAGTCCCTGTGACAGGGGAGTTAAAAGCTCAACACTTATTTGGGATTCAAAGCTAGAACCATGGAGGGTCGAAAAGGAAAACGGGAACTGAGGAAGGTGGCTGGATTTTCTTTCTGAGCAGCTAGGTCAATGATAATGCCAATTACTGAGTCAGAAAATACAAGCAAACAGATTTGCAGTGCGGGGGTCAAAACCTTGTGGAACATATGAAAGCATCTATACCCCTTATGGCACTTCTCACGGTGTCTGTCTTACTTCCTCTATCAGACTCCAGACTGGAACTCACCCAAGGGTGGAGTCTGATGGCTCCTTGTGTCATGTAACATGCACTTAGCACAACCAGTATTAAGTAAATAAAATGGTGCCTAGAAGCCAGGGTGCTGGTCCTTCGACGGTCAGTGGTGGCCCCAACAGGTGCTCATATGGGACAAGTTCCTTCCAGATCTCTCCACGAGGAGGCATGGAAAAGCTGGAAACATTCACCAGCCCCGCTTCTGGGGTGGGAAGTCAGAATGCTCAGGACTCTAAGAAAAATGTCTTTATTTCTCCTTTTAGGAATCACCTGTAATGCCAAGCTGGTAGAGAAAAGCTTTGAAACAGGTAAGCGAGGGATCCATCCTGGCTTCACACAGGTCTGGGGAGACGATGAACCCACAATTACCCAGACGGGATAGAGGCAGTGTGAAGGAACATGTGGATCTAGGAATGAAGTTCTAAGGAACAAGAACAGCAGTTCAAGCCCCGTTCAAAGCTGCCTGGGGACATTCTTGAATCCCTAGATTCCTCTCACCGTCTCTAATTTTCTTTTCCATTCTAAGAACTTCAAGGATACGTCTAGTTCTTCTAGACCAATGACTCACTCCCAGGCCTCTATATTCCTTTCAGTGGATTCCTCCACTGTCCACAGAGATCAAGAGAGCTTCTGGGTGGCCCAGCTGGGAAATCTCTGACCAGCTCTCATAAAGCCCTAGACTAACCCGGTCTTCCCAAGGATGTTCTCCCTCCATAGCCTGGGGGTTTTGCCTTCTTTCAAGAAGAGCAGAAGAACTCATGTGGGCGGTGACCTTGGCTCTCAAAGATCCCCACCACTCCTCACCACCTACTCTGGGCCCACGCTCATTTCCATTTGAGTCATTTGTACTGAGTCATCCCTCTAGGGCTTGCCTTATGGCCCCTGCAATGCGGGAGACCTTGGTTCGATCCCTGGGTCGGGAAGATCCACTGAAGAAGGAATAGGCTACCCACTCCAGTATTCTGGTCTGGAGAATTCCATGGTCTGCATAGTCCATGGGGTCGCAAAAAGTCGGACACGACTGAGTGACTTTCACTTTCACTTTCATCCCTCTTGTGGTTCTGCCACTAGATTCTCACTAAGGGGCCCAGACCCAGGGTGTTGCGTGTGCCAAGTTCTGAGCATCCACCACCCCCCACCCACTGAGAGGCTCAGCCCTAAAACTGAGAGTAAGGCTGTTGGTGTTTCCCTTTGGAAATGANTGCCACTAGATTCTCACTAAGGGGCCCAGACCCAGGGTGTTGCGTGTGCCAAGTTCTGAGCATCCACCACCCCCCACCCACTGAGAGGCTCAGCCCTAAAACTGAGAGTAAGGCTGTTGGTGTTTCCCTTTGGAAATGAAATGCTGCTGACCCTGGTGCGTGCGCGCTCAGTCACTAAGTTGTATCCGATTCTTTGCAATCGCATGGACTGTAGCCCACCAGGCTTTTCTGTCCATGGAATTTTCCAGGCAAGAATACTGGAATGGGTTGCCATATCTTACTTCAGGAGATCTTCCCAACCCAGTGATCAAACCCGCATCTCTCATGTCTCCTGCATTAGCAGACAGAGTCTTTACCACAGTGCCACCTGGGAAGCCCCTGTTGACCCTAGAGGGATGTTACAGATATGTTTATGAGGGGATGTGCACCAAAGCTCAAAGGGAGAGGCAGATGGAGGCACTGAAGCCCACCATACTCCCCACCCTGCTTTCGGTGTCACGGGGGCTGTGCAGACCTGCGCCATGACTGCTGTGGCTCCTTGTTTTTGCAGATATGAACCTAAACTCCCAGAACCTGTCAGTGATCGGGTTCCGCATCCTCCTCCTGAAGGTGGTCGGGTTTAACCTGCTCATGACGCTGCGGCTCTGGTCCAGTTGAGGTGAGCTGACATCTCAGCCAGGTGGTGGGGCCCCAGGCGCAGGTCCCCAAGCTCTGAAAAGGAACTTCCCCCAGGCTCCTGCTTTTAGGTCCTAAGTCTGGACCCACCAGACTCCTCCTTTCCTGTTAGTGGTTCCTCTTGTTAATAGCAAAGGCCCAAAACACTTAAGAAACACAATACACTCCTCAGGTGACATTGGTCAACTCCTTTGAGCCACATCTCACCTACAAAGTATGAAGAACAGTTGTTATTATCCTCATTTTGGGAATGAAGAAACTGAAGCCAAGGAACATCAAGGCCACACAGTTAATGAGTGGAAGTTAGGAGACACTTAGGACCCAGACTCATTCATACCTACGCCTTCTATTGTACCCCAATTCATTGCAAATCTTAGGGGCCCCCCCATTCCTTTCCTCAGGTCCTCTGGCCCCAATGTGGTGAGGCAGTATTGTATTTGTTATCCACCCTAATTCTGACTAGAATCTCCAGACCCTTTCCCCCAGTGTCCCAGGTCATCCCACTGACAAGAGCATCTCATCAAAAAGAACTCTGGGTCCATCTGCCCCTAGAACTCTACAAACAGAAGCATCCTCATCACATCCCTAACTGTCCTGGGTCTCATCACTATGCAGCCTGACCCTGTTCTTCCTCATCCCAGGTCACCGACAGCCTGAGAGCCCCATGCTCCCTCGCCCCTTGCTCCTCGTCGCCCTTCCTCTCCCTCTCTAAGCAGAGGCGCACTCTCTGCCCCTGTGGATGAGAAGGCTCCCTCCTCCTCTCTGGCCTGGCTGGCCATACCACCAACTGAATCCTCCAGATACTGGCGATCAAGATGCTGACAAGCTGCCCAGCACAGCTGCCACCCACTCTGTTCCTCACTGCTGCTTGTCACTGCCTGGCATTCTTGGCAAAGTTGGGGGGCTGCTGCAGCCTCTCCTGGCTGTAGGGACACTCCCTCCCCACCCCCACCCCCCAGAGGCTGCCGCTGATGTCCCACTGGATGGTGGATCCCCAGTGGGTTCTCTTGGGATCTAGCTCCCGGAGAATGTTGTGTGGTGTTTATATTTTTTACATAGTGTTTATAAAAAAATATATATCACCCTTTTTCCCAAGATGTGGGGAAAAATTATCTTTTCATGATCTAGGCCCTGCTCTGCTGTGTATTTGAGCCACATTGTATATTCTGCTGCCAAGGCTTCAATAAAAGCGATTTGGAAGAGACTGTGCTCCTGTTTGACTGAGTTTAGTCCGGGTCATTTTCAGCTTGCTGTGGATCACTAGCTGGGCAGAAAGAAACTAAGCCATCCATCCATGAGGACATTCGGCAGGTCTAACTCAACAAGCTGCTTAAGTCCACCTCTTCCTGGAAAAACCTCTAAAGAATTCCACTGAGAAGGCTGTGCTGGGGCCAGGCAAACCCACTTAAAAGCCTGGGCCCCTGCTCTTCCACTGGGCATAGCAGGAGGCCCATGTACATGGGTGGTAATGACCTGTAGCTGAAATCTGGCAGACAGGGACCACACAGCAAGTGTCCCCAAAAGGCCACCCACTGTCTCTTGCCCTGAAGAAACACTTCCTTTGCCTTTCCTTTCAGACTGGATTCCCAGTTAAACTGTGCATTGCTCTACAAGTTCATGGCTGGGGACCACCTACCACTCCACTGCCCCCGGTGCCCACCAGTGGCTCAGCCCCTTGGCGTGTCAGTCTAGGAGTGCGGGAAGCAGGGAGAAGAGGGTGACCCTAGCCAGACGTTCTGCTCCCATCACCCTGGGTGTGAGAACAAGGAAAGCAGAGATGAGCTCTCGCCTCTCAAGCCCAGGGAGAGAACAGGCATCTTGGCCAAGGAGAATAGGTGTCTCAGGCCCTCACCTAGAAGACAGGAGATGGGGTCCCCTGGGATTCTCCTGAGCCTTCTGCTACCTTAGCACCTTTCCTGGGGTGCTTAGGAAAGGGAGCACCCCTCAGACACTACTCAGCCATCCACCTTACAATTACCACTCTCAAGACTGGAGCCCAGTGCTTACCGATTCCTGGTGGAGGAGTGCGAGGCGGTTCTAGCCCCAAGTACATCTACAGTTCACCTGTGTGTCTCTGACCACACAGCCAGAAACAAGCAAATCCTTCCGGCTACAATTCAGGTCTGAGGCTTTTTACAAGGATGGAGCCACCAGCTCAATAGGTAACATCAGCATGTGCCTCCCATCTGTGAGTTCCAGGGTCACCACCTATAAAACCTATGCCACTTAGGACTGGAGGCTGCCTCCAGCTCCCCGCATCTCTGATTCTATGGCTTCTATAGAGGTTAAGAACCACGTTCAACACTGGCAGCCCTACCAAGGGTAGTCACAGAAACCCCAGTGGTCTCTGAGCAGCCTCATGTGCAGCCTAAATACAAGTGCCTTTAAAAATCACTAAAGGGAAAGATCTCAGAGGAAATCCCATCATAGCAGATCACTCTCACACCCAGAAGAAGAGTTACCCCCTGCGGGGAACTCAAAACTGCCTCCTCATCAGTCTAACATGATGCCAAAGACTCCACCATTGGGAATTTCTTTTAAATAAAGCATTCTCTTCCCCCTATTAAATGAAAATGCCCCTGGGAGGGTTAACAGAGCAAGCCTTTATCAACTGTTAAAAACTTTAGGCAAATTAGCCTTTTTTTTTCGTCCTAAAATAGTAATCCACTTTGGTCTGTATACATAAGAGCCAGGCAAGAGACTGTGCGGGTGGCTGGGGAGGCAGGCCTGCTCCTGAGCCTCGGCTGCGAAGATGCTGAGGATGAAGGGGAGATGGGACTTTGGCAGGGGACAGCGGCAGGACACTGGAAGGCAGTAAAGGGGCCAAAGACAGACCCCTCCAAGAACCGCAGAGGAGGCCCAGGTGGAAGGAGACCAAGGGAGCCTGTGGAGTCATGCCGCTCAGGGTCCTTAGACGGTAGGGCCCTGTGGTCACTGGACCCCTGAGGCCACCTGAGGAGCTAGGAAGGGATGCGGCAGCAGTGCCCAGGGATCCTCCCAGACCCGTGGAGGGGGGAAGGCCCACTCCTTCCAGGCCCGGCCCAAGCTGAGAGTGACAAGGCCTCAGGCAGGTAAGAGGCCATCTGGAAAACAGGGTTAGCATCAGCTCGGGGAAGTTTTCCATCTCAAATCTGGATTCCTCTATCGCAGCAAAAACCTTCTCTCAGGTCTGAGGCTGTTAAGCCAACAGCCAACTAAGCAAGAGTGCTGAAGGGGTGGTGCAGAGTCCTCGGCGGCTGTGTCCTCTCTGTTCTCACATCTGGCCCAGGCCCCACCAGGGTGTCAGAGGCGATCGAAGTGGCCTTGTGAGGAGGCCTGGGGAAGGGAGCCTATGCCCGCTAGGAGGGCAGCGCTGGGCCAAGGGCCACTGCAGCAGATCCCTCCATGCAGTAAGGGACCAGTGTTCAGCGTGGAGGGAAGAGGCTGCTGAGGAAACCTGGAGACATGGTCACCAAGTCCCTGAGAGGGCCCAGCCCTGAAGAGCCCGTCCTCACCAGCAGGGGCCAGCCTCAGGGAGGGACAGCCATGCCATCCCAAGCTGGAATGTGCCCCCAAGGCCAGTTGCAGAACAGAATTCTCTGGACAGACATCCTACTGCCCCCAAAAGACTTAAGCTCAGGCCAACCCTGGAGGCAGAAAAATGGACCAAATGACTTCTCTGGACACCAAGCCTAAGATTCTAGAGAATTCTCTGCCACTTCACCCAGAAATCTGCCCTCTGAGTCCAACTGGAATCACGATCTGATCAAGAAAAGGGCAGGCTAACCCAGTATGTGCTTCAGGAACACTTGGGTGGGGTCTCAGCCCCAACAGAGCACCCCTCACCATGACCCACCATTGGAGGGGCAGCCATCTGAGTCTTGAAGAACTGTTTTCTTCTTGGTTTGCCCATAACATCTAACTCCCATGGGGTCACATGTAAAGCCTTTGACAGATACCACTTTAGTTATCAGGTAATATCTCAGCAAGAAAATCTATTCAATTATGAGCTCCTTGGGATGGGAGGTATATGGTGTTCATCCATGTGTCTGCAACACCCAGCACAGTGCCTGGCATACAACTGATGCTTAATATACACTTAAGCAGCAAGTGAACAAATAAATGAGGCAGGGGGCTCATCAGGCACTAGGGAAGGAGCGAAGATGTATATGTGCGTAGGGGGGTGAGGGAGCATAAGAGAAAGGAAAATGGGGATTAATATACGAGGTGGTCCGGTGAGCCACATTTTCACAATTTGTGTATGTGTGGTTGCTCAGTCTTGTCTGACTCTTTGCAACCTCATGGACTACAGCCTGCCACACAAGAATACCAGAGTGGGTTGCCATTTCCTACTCCAGGGGATTTTCCCAACCCAGAAACTGAACCCGAGTCTCCTGTGTCTCCTGCATTGGCAGGCGGATTTTTTACTTTTGAGCCTCCTGAGAAGGCATTTCATAATTTAGCCAAGAGCTAAGAGTAACCTGTCGAGAACTATCAGGAAAAGAAGAACCTGAGTGATGGTCCCTTGGCCAGAGCAGCTTCAGGTGGGCACTCATCCAGTAGAGCCTGGGGGATGGGAATGCATCAGGGCTTCTAGGCATCAGCCCTCCCATTACTGAAGGACCACACCCAGGTCCAGGGCTGCAGGCCACCTTACCATTCACCTCACTTTCTCCACGTATCCTGTCTTAAAACTCTCTCCATCTACCTCTGGGAGCAACCTGTGGGAAGAAGAGCTTCTGACTGATGGGTGGGTCTGGGGAGGTCTGCAAGTCCAGGTCACTGTGTCACTCTGCTAATGAGTACACTCAGAAGCCAGGAGGCTGGCGGGCCAGTGCCCTGCCCCTGTGTAAGGCCCCCTGGATGCAGGCCTAGTTTCACCCAGACACTCACAAGAGTACGGTTTCCTCTGAGTATCACACTGAGAGCTATATTTTGAAATTAATAAGCAGGTCAGACATTGAGTCAGTAGCCAGATGTAGGACAGGAAGTGGAAAAAGCCTCCCACTTCCGTGCAGGTGTTTGGGGGGCCTTGGGGCGGCCCCTCCCATTTCCATGACGTCATGGCTGCCGCGAGGGGCAAGTGGGGCACCCTTTGAAGCTCTCCNCCCCCCCCCAGCCAAGCCCGAAGATCAAACCTTGATCTCCCTCGATCACACCATTGCTTTATGCAGGACAGGCCCTCTAGGCTTCTGTCCAGCCCGCCCTCCCCGGGAGGTGTGGGGCCACATCTCCCCCTCCTACGCACAGCTGGAGCTGGTTCTCCAAGGAACCGCTCCAGGTCAGGGTTGAAGTGCAAGATGATGGTCTAGAGGGACATCTGGCTCTCAGAAGCCAAAGAGACCAGGATTCAGGAGGCCGGGAGATGGAGAGCCACAGAAGGACGCTCTGAACCTGAGACCTGAGACCGCGGGGTTTGGACGTCCGGCTCCGTGGTAGTGACCCAGCCACCCAGCTGGGGGCAGCAGAGCTCCACCAAAGATGCCTCCTCTCCCTTCATCCGCTTCTTTTGAAGCAGGAAAGCCCCCGAACGCTTAAGAAAACGTCTTTTCGGAGGAAAATAAAAGGACAGGAGACTTCCTTCCAGGAGCCGAGTCCCTGCCCTTTGTCCATTACTGCCCTGGGCTCCTGCCCGGGTGATTCTGTCACTTCCCTTGGAGGAGAGAGGGTGTGGGGTCTGGCCCCGGCAGACAGCAGGGGACGCTGCCTGCCCAGGATCACCAGGCTCCTTCATCCAGAGCACTAGATAGGAGCCCCCAGGGAGGGGTTGGGGGAGCCCCCGGGAGCCTGGAGAGAGCTTTGGATTCAGAATCGGGGAGCCTGGGCTGGTCACCAGGGTCCACCATGCCCTGTGGGCATCTCACTGACCTTCCACAGCTTCAATTTCCCAGTGGAACCAGTGCTGTCTTACAGGGTCGCTTAAGAACCAAGGCTCCTCTCACAGTGCAGACCTGCCAAGTGCAGACACAGGCCAGGCCCCAGGGGTTCAGGCTCTGTACAAACTATATGACTCCACACAGATGAAGCTCAAGAGCAAGCAAAACTAATCACCAGCGACAGAAATGGGAACAGTGGATGCCTCTGGGGTACAAGGACTGGCTGGAAAGGGGCCCCAGGGAAGCTTCCAGGTAGTGGAAATATTCTGCATCTTAATTTGGGTGATTTACACAGGTATATAGACATGTCAAAATAAGCCCAACTGTACACATAAGATTTGTGCACTTT